CGAGGGCATGATCGTACAGTGAGATGTCCTCCTTGGCAGTGAGCTGTAGGAAGAGGTGCAGGTCATCTAGCCAGGTGTCAAATTTCACTGGGCGGCCCTCAGCATCGAAAGCTAGCACAGGAGGACTAGCCATAGTAGCAGCAGTAGTAGCAGTAGGTGCACCCTAAAAGCAGTAGGCAGCGCGACTCAGGTAGGGCGGCTCGGTCCAAAGAAGCTGCACAGTACGGCTCGGCGCGGCTCGGTTCAGGTAGGGCGGCTCGGTTAGGGCGGCGCGGCTCGGTTCGGGCTGCGTAGCTCGGCTCGGACTGGGCGGCTCGGTTCGGTCGACTCGGTTCGGGCGGCCTGGTTCTGGTGGGGCCGTGGCTGTCGTGTGCGGGGCGTTAAGGGGCGGCAGGTAGGATAGACGGGGTCGCTAAGGGGCGGCGCGCGGGGTCGACGGGGCCAAAGGGGGCGGCGCGCGGGGTCGACGGGGCCGCTAAGGCCTCTAGGCGGGGCGCGCGGGGGGTCGACGGGGCCGGGGGGGCCTCTAGGCGGGTCGCGTGCGGGGTCGACGGGGCCAGCGGGGCCTCTAAGCGGGGCGCGCGCGGGGTCGACGGGGCCAGCGGGGCCTCTAAGCGGGGCGCGCGCGCGGTCAACGAGGCCAGCGGGGCGGCGCGCGAGTCGCAAAAGGGCAGCGCGCGGGGTCGACGGGGCCTTAAGGGGCCGAAAAAAAAAAGAGAGGCGCGCGAGGGCGCTGGGGGGGAGGCGCTAAGGCGCGCTCCGACAGTAGGGCGCACGAGGGCGCTAGTAGACAGTCAGTGGTGCTGGGCCCGAAAAAAAAAATTAGGTCCTAGCGAAGGACCTGCTCTGAAACCATGTCAGAATAACTGAAGCAGGAATGAATGAACTAGCAGGAAGTTTGGTACAAGTAGGAAACCCTAAGTTTGTGTACCCCCTAAGGTGTAACCCACTACAGCCTACACAACTTAAACAGGCAATGTTTGACAGCATGCCACGTAGCAGCTTGCGCATGGTGTTCTGGAGGGTCCTGCTCATTCGTTCTGCTACACCCTGCTGTTGATGGGCGTAGGGAAGGGAGATGAGTCTCTTGATTCCTCTCTCTGCCAAGTACTGCTTGAACCTCTGTGAGGTGTATTCTCCTCCTCCGTCTGACTGGAAACTCTTGAGTTTGACACCCGATTCTCGTTCTGCTGTTGGAAACCAGGCGACGAAGGCTTCGAAGGCCATGTCGCGGCTTGGAAGAATTAGGTGCCAGACGTATCGTGTGGCGGCGTCGATGAAGGTGATGGTGTAGTTGTACGCATTTTGTCCAGGCTCGCGGTTGTACAGGATGTCACCGTACACCTTCTCGAGTGGCGCGTAAGCTGGTGCGCTTGGGTTGTGGTGGGAGACGAACGGTTGATGTGGTAAGTCAGCTTCGGGATAGGTGAAGCATGTTCCGCGGGCTCGCTGAAGTTCTCTGGCGTCAGTTAGGAGTAGAGAGTCTTTGCCGAGTACGCCTGCTCTTATCGTGTTATTCAACACTGTGTTGCTTGGGTGACCCATTCTTGCATGCCAGTTTCCTTCGGTGGCGCGGTGTCCGGGTGAGCGCCGATACATGTCGGATTTGGAGTAGAAGCTGGCGGTGACATTGGCGCTTCGATGAACTTCTCGTGGTGCCGGGTTTAACTGCTGCACGGGTGTCGGTGGTGTGTCCTCGATGAAGATTGGTGTCATTGAAGGACCAGCAATTGGTGTTGTTGTCGCCGCTGTTGCTGTCGTTGTTGTCTCTGCTGCTGCCAATGTTGTCTCTGCTGCTGCCGATGTTGTCTCTGTTGCTGCCGATGTTGTCTCTACTGTTGCCGATGTTGTCTCTGATGCTGCCGGATGTTGAATAGTTGCTAATGCTCTTGTTCTTTCTGCTTCAGGGATGCTGTGTGAGTACCAGAAGCCTTCTGGTCTGAAGTTTGGATCAAGATCTGGTGGATGTGTCCAGTTGGTGAAGTTGACGATGGCGTCACTGTCAGCGGTGCCGAGATCAGGAACGAAGTCGAGGACGGAGACGTTATTCTTCAGAACTGCCTTCCCGATGTAAAGGCCTCCTCTCCCGTGGTACAACTTGAATTCTTGGGTGGTGCTGTCTGCTTCGAGATGGATGCGCTTCGCCATCAGCTGACTGACGCTCAGTAAGTTGTAACCGAGACCTTCTGCTATTAAGACCTTTGACAGTATAAGGTTTGTTTCCCGTAACTGAAGTTGAACTACTCCTTGTCGTCGTGTGCGCAGGTTTTGGTTGTTGGCGACGGTGATGACTACTTCGCGTTGGAGTTGGTACTCTCGCTGCACGAAGCGTCCTGAAGAGCACATATGCTGTCCGCAGCAGCTGTCCAAGAACCAAGTGTCCTTTCCGGACGGCTCGCTTTGGGCAATGGCTGCGTACGTCGGATTAGGCCGAAGTGACTCGCGACGAGGGGTGCTGTTATCGAGTTGCTCTTCTGGTGAGTAATGCAGTGGTGACTCAGTGATGTAGGAACCTGTCAATCTTGCCATGCAGCTGACGATGTTTCTTGCTCCTTGTGCAGATTGTGTTGTCGAAGACTGTGGCTGACTCGTGGGGTTCGCCTGCGTCGATGCCACTTGGATGCTAGAAGGGCGAAGTTGACGTTGTGGTGGTGTTGACTGTTGTCGATTCGGGCAGTGCGTGCGCGGGTGACCTGACGTCTTGCAGATGTGACAAAATGGAGGTACGGGTTTTGGTTGTTGTCGGTTGTTGTTGTTGTTGTTGTTGTAGCGTCGCTGAGTGTGGAAAGCGAATTCCGGTGCTGACGTCTTCCTCTTGTGCCTTTCTTCTTGCAGGTCCATGTCTTGTTCCTCGGCATGAATTTCAGTGCAAAGTGCTGCTTCGGAGATTCTTCCGTGAACTCGGAAAATGGCTTTTGTGGCGCGCCATTGAGGACCGAGGCCGCCGATGATGACTGTCACGAAGGCCTCTTCTGATATCTGTCAGAATCCCAGCCACTAACCACTGGGATAAAAGGGCTTGTTTGTGTAGCGGGTGAGTGCGCCCATAACCCCCCAGGCCAACGTGCCTGTAACCCTTCCCTAGGATCAATCGGGGATCACCAGTGGACCTCTGACACCCCCCCGCACTGGGATGCCCGAAGTCGAACCCGAGACCTTCGCTCTGATACCATGTCAGAATCCCAGCCACTAACCACTGGGATAAAAGGGCTTGTTTGTGTAGCGGGTGAGTACGCCCATAACCCCTCAGGCCAACGTGCCTGTAACCCTTCCCTAGGATCAATCGGGGATCACCTGTGGACCTCTGACAATATCGACCCTCCGCATCGAAGGAGTTTGTCGCGCAATTCGCGACAGCGACTGATATACGCCATCCCCTTTTCTCCTGGTTTCATTTCGACTGTTGTCAGTTGTGCCATCAACCGACTCTGATTTACACTGTCTGTTGCTTGATACAGGTTCTTCAAGTGGTTGTATGCGAGCTCGGCGGAGTTGCCGTATCCCCGGTAAGACCGTATATTTTGCTGTTGAGTTGGGGTGATGTTCCTCAAGAGGATTGTGTACGCCATCATTGACTGATAGGTGTACTGCTGCTTGTCGTATAGTGTGCCATTTGTTGGATATGGCAGGGACCCGTCGAAGAAGCCGAGAATTTGCGCGCCTTCCATCATCAGCTCGAACTCAAATGACCAGGTGAAGAAGTCCTTTCCGTCGAAGGGTCTTGACGTCTGCAGTTTTAAGACGTGCGCGAAGTGTGACTGAACTTGAAGTGCGTCCGGCATTTTCTCTTGTCCAAGTGAAGGCTGCGAGTGTGGCGTGAAGCTGATGGAGCCGCACTAGCTGGGGTTCGTACGGGGCGAAGGTAGGTTGCTGCTGTTGATTTCCGCGCGCGTATGATGAGCCATCGAGACTCATGGGAGTCACATCGTTGTTGTTGTTGGTGTTCTTTGACTGTGCAGGTGCTGTTTGCTGGTGCTGCTCGTAGAAGGACATGAAGAAGAAAAACTTCTCCATCATGTTCTGGTCGAAGCTTGCAGGTTGATTCGCGGGAGTCTCGGTAGACGTTGCCCTTGTTTTTGTTTCCTTACCCTCCTCTGTCTGTAGGCCAGGGGCAGGAGGTGGAGTAAGAGTAGTACCCGGGGAGCCGTTAGAGGAGCTCCTTTCCTTTTGTGTTGCCATGCCTTCTGATGTTGTAGATAAATTGATAGTAGTTGAGTTCCCCCTGTTTGCTCTCATACCATGTTGGGCTGAGAAAGCCCTTAGGATCTTTGCAGGGGTGAACTCTGGTTAGGACTGGTTGTAGTAGCGGAAGCTTTATAAGAGGTAATTGAACCACCTTGCGCTAGTATGTGAGGGCAAAGTGGATTGATTAAAACAAGGAGCTACAAGCTTTTATAAGAGTACAAGGAATATCAAAGGTTATAACTAATTTACTGTTGCTGTTGCGGTTCGATACAGTGACGACTCGGGCAACTGCTCTGTAACGAGTCAGTTGTGTGTCCTTGCTGTCGCGCTGTACTTGTCAAGTCAAAGGTCGCTGACCTTTGACTTTCGCGTAACCTCTAGCAACTGCTCAACCTCCGAGGGTTGACTCGCCGGTGCTTTGATATACTTCGCTTCGCTTCTGACTTGGTGTTTCTGACAGGGGCGCTTAGAATTAATTGTTTCCAACATGACCTTTGCGTAACCTCCAGTAGTTACGTTTTGTCAACCTCCTCGGTTGACTCGCCGATGCTTCGTTGTAGTTCGCTCTGCTTGTGGTTCAGTGCTTCTACACATCAGAAGCGTTTAAGTTACTTGTTTCCAACATATAGCACATGGATATCATCCGAGAGATGACAGTAGGCTCTAGAGTTAGGATGCACATGACTCCATTCTAGTGCTATGGTGCTCTTGAGCTGTATACCGGTATGTGGGGCGCAGCAGAAACCTGGTTGCAACAGTGTGTCACAAGATTCCTCCCTCGCATGAACACGGATGGCATGGCAGTGTTGGACGTACTAATCACGACGGAGGACAAGGAGCGGCTGGACAATGTCAGCGTTGATATTCTCGCTGTACAGCTTTTCCAGGCTGTCGATCCCAAAGACGTCAAGCAGGTGAAAGCCCGAGATGAGCAGTGGCATGCGGATGGGCCCGTATATGCGGTGGGCGTTGAATACCAGTGTGTCGTTGCCTGTGGGCACGCCCAGGAACAGCAGCCCTCCTGGATAAGCAGCCCCTTGATCTGTTGGGTAAGACGGGAGTGGTGTGGGAAATGGGTGTGCATTGGTTGCAATGAGAGAGTGTGGACATGCTGAATGTGAGCGTTTGGCAACACACCCTCCTTGCGGCAACAAACGGGTGGCTCATTCTGTGCCGCGGGACCCCACCTTGCGCCGGATCCACCTTGGTCCACCGCAGCACACCTTGCTCCACCACACCCCACCTTGCTCACAGCCCACCTTTTCGCCCCAGCCCACATTGTGCCGCCCCAGCCTACGTCCACTAAAGCCCACCTTGCTCCACTACAGCCCACCTTGCACCGCAGCAGCCCATATCCTTCCACCACAGCCCCCTTTGTTCCACAACATCCCCCATTGCTCCTACCCAGCTCACCTTCTACCTGCGCTTACCTTCTTCATGCGTTCGAGGTCGCCGTTGGGGTTGATGGGGTCGCCGTAGCGGCCGAGCCCATCATGCTCGAGCGAGGAGAAGGAGACAGCCACGTCCCACGTCTCGCTGCTGCCCTCCAGCTCGCTCACCACCAGCTGCCGCAGCTTCGGGTGGGACGCAATCGGCCGGTTGAAGTCAACGGTGGTGATGGCGTGTGCATCGAAGCCCAGGCAGATGGCCTCCACCCACGGCCACTGGCTGCCGATGATCAGCACGCTCTTTCCAACCAGTGGGTGTTTCTCAAACGCTGAGTAGAACGAACTCGTCACGTTCGGCCCGTACGACCCGAAGCCCGTGTCGCGGCGGCGGGCCATGGCGGCCTGCTTGTCAATGCGGCTGGTGGCGCCCGAGTCCGCCGCGTCCTTGTTCAGAAACTGGTTGATCACCTGCCGGTGGGAGGGCAAGGGCAAGTGTCGTTCAAAGCACTGGTGGTGCTAGGCCGTGTTGCTTCGTCACCGTGCATTCTGCATGCCGCTCGTCGCGCGCAATGGCTGGTCAACGCGCGCCCGCGCCTGCGCTAGGCTCCGCACCCCGACTTTCCCCTCTCCGTCGGCACGCAACTCACTGTCCTCACAGCCCTCACAGCTTCCACTTTCCCCGCTTTCAGCCGCTCGGCGCCACTGACCGTGTGTGCGTGCCCTCGTCTCCCCCCGTGCCTGCTTTGCGCGTGACATTGTTACCATCGCGGAAAAGGAAAGTGCCAAAAAAAACTTAAAAGTGGCGCGTACATAACTTTCCAGTTGCATTTTCCGCGCAAGAAAAAAGTTTGACTCAGCAACAGTGGTAGCGTCAGTAACTACAACCGTCACCTTCCCGTCACTTTCTGGCAACAACGTGTGCAGATTCCCGCATCCGCCACGCAAGTGTACAGGCAACTTCACAACTGGAATACAGTAACCACACACGTTACTCGGATGGTCACCATAACGTTGCACCGCAACCACCCACCTCACATACCTCCCAGTAACCAAAACATGCGGCGACGTACACGTGCCCACGTGTACCTGAATTTCAACCATACCTGCCACGTAAGCGTACACACCCACTACATGCCGAACCTACCACAGCCGCACGATTACGCACCACCACACCAACTATGCACCGTTCACGTGTAAACAGCTCCGCGAGTCGCCAATACTGTTACAATACCTCCGGCCAAACGAGTACCATAGATTAGGGTAGTGCATACCACATCCAGCCCGTCCATTCTCCATGCATTGTATGCCTCGCACCACTACCCCCCTGCCACGTGCAACTCACAACGTCCATTGATACAGAACTACCACGCGCCATCTCACCACCTGCTTGTCCCACGTGTCCTCAACACCCGCCATCGTACTATGTGTTACCCCTTCTCGCAGCTACCTCGCATGCGTAGCCCAACCACTTGCACGCGACCATGTTCTACACCCTACGTAGCATCAACAACTCATAGGCTGCCACGTATCAGCCACTGTTTAGGGAGATCGCACCGGCGATCGCAAATGCGTGCGGCAGCAATTCGCACAGCCCCTACGCGTCGCATCACCACCTTCAGACCTCACAGGGTTGGTGCACGACACCCGCGACCACCAGCGTGGCAGTTGGGCCACGTTGAGGTTTCGCACCGCTCGTAACATGGTCGCCTGCACCACACTTCCAGTGTCGCACAACACGCATCACCAAACACCAGCCGTCCACGGAGGACGGGAACGATCCACCCCTCCACCGCCACGCGTCACTTTCACACATTACACAAATGCCACCATGCCAAGCACACAAACACCGTGCCGACAATTGGGGCCTCGTCAACTGTTCGAACCAACCACGGCAATCCACGTGTTGCTGTCAAAGTAGGCGGATCCCAAACCATTGCCCCTCTCGTGAGCTCTCCGTCAAACGCGGCGACACTTGCGGTGCACATGACGCGCGCCCCGGAAAATTTGGTTCAATTGGTCCTAGCCAACCAGCATTGCCTGCCGATGTCTGACTGGATGGATATTGACCCCGTCATGTCCATTACACACACTCAAAACAAGCATACAAGAACAATTTCCACAAACGTCTACCGCGCATCACACACCGTAAACTGCAAGAGAAATCTAGTCACCTACAAACCAGCCGCACGTATCTCAATAGCGCACGCAAAAGCAACATCACCTCCCACCACGGCAAGGTCTATGCCCACCAACAGCCCGTCCTCCCCCTCCCCGCCGCTCTACACACCCCCGACAGACACCGACTGCACATCGTTCCCGGCGGCGTCTCCTCCGCTAGCGCCTGCATTGGGCTTCATGCTCTCAAGCCCACATGCAGAAAGGCGGAGGCCATGGCGTCCCCATATCCACTCCTCTTTCTCCTCGTCGTACTCTGGATTGAAGTGACGGATGGCCTGTGAAACGGAGCCCTTCACAAGCACCTTCAGCCTGTTCACCACGTGGCCGTTCCCCCCCGCCGAGTTAGAGAGACGGCCCATCCTCTGCTCCCAGTACATGATGCTGTCGGACACCTGACAGGAGATTCACACCGCGCACACATTGTAAGCCTACAGCCCAGGCGAGGAGTAACCACCAAATTTAAACATTGTCACTCACCACGTGCTCTAGCCACGCAAGGTGGTACACCTTCAAAGTGAGCGGCAGTGCAGCCTTCTTCGGAATGAAGGCAGCCTTTGCGCACGCCGCAAACGCCGCAGAAGCAAAGGGCATCCCGTCGCGGTCGTTAGCCCAGTTGCTCAACACCAGATCATCTGCACACCGCCGACAGATCGGACGAGTAAAAAGACTACACCCAAGCACGCAACCGTCACCAATGTGTAGAAGCGCCTGAACACCGCTTACCGCTCTCATCCGCCCCGAACCCAATGCGCTCGCGAATCTGCTCCAGCGTCCGTGCGTTGTCCCTTGCCCACGGGCTTGCCTCGTCGCGCTCGTCCCGGAAGAATCCAAGCTTCGGGAGCGCAATGTCCCGGACCCGTGCTGCAGCCCTTGTCTTCCACTCGCTCAGCGTCTTGTTAAGGTCCGCCCGTCGGGACTTGTCCGCTGCCAGCGCGAGACACGCGAAGCTATGCGGCAGGCGGTCAAGCACTGCGCAGACGCCATAAGTCTTGTCGTCAGAGCTCGGATAGAAAGTCATGGCTGCGGCCGGCTTCTTCAGGAACAGCTGCACGCGGACCAACTCGCATAGTCGCTGCACACAAGTCAGGAACCACCGCAAACACTGAATGAGAACAGTGCTCCACCAAAGGGCATCCCCATGCAGACTGCGCCCGCCCATACAGTAATGTTTCCCGTCTGCTAGCACAACCCACCTTCCAAGCCTTGTCTGCTGGCAGCAGATCAAGTGCGCGTTGCAGAACAGGCGACTTCGCAGACCGCATATGTTTGCGCCGCGTGCGAATCTGTGCCACGTCCTCGAAGTCGTCGTCGTCGTCCACCTCATTGTCATCGTCCTCAACCTCAGCCACAGCCTCGCCACGACGCTGGCGCTTTGGGTTCATGCATCCCTGTCCCGGCTCCCTCTGCCGCTCTGCTTTGCGGCGACGAGATCCCCCATCGGACTTCGCCAGTGCCTCCAAAAGCAAGGTTTCCAAGCGGGCAACCTTCTTCGCGCTCTCGTCTTGCGACTTAAGCAGGCTCCGGAATACTCCCGCAGAAACGCGCACCTCCTCTCCATTGGTTGGGGCATCCGTGTTCTCGCGGTTCGTGTTGGTTTCGAACATCGCGCGCATCGCGTCGCCCACATCCTCGTCATCCTCCTCTTCGAAAGCGTTGACGTCGCTCTCGATGCGTGCCTGGTCGCCCCCGTCAACGTCCTCGCCTCGATTCCGGAGAGCCAGACGCGGATCAACGTCGCTCTTGGAACGCGAATCTGGCGAGTCACTCTCCGCCGCTTGCTTGCCTACTCTGCCGGGAGAAGCGTCAGATGTCTCCCCCCCCGTAGTCTCTGAAGTGGTGGGAATGTAGACGGACGAGAATGTAAGTTCGACGGTTTAAAAGCTCCATTGCGGAAGGAAGGGGGATGCCAACGGCTTCAAAAGCATACGAGACTGTAAACGGCTCAGTTCTTTGGAACAATTCGAGCAACATGCGCAACAAACCCGTGATTACCATCACCAGCAGGGTTTCCGCCACCTCTCGCTCTGGTAAACGTCAAACGCTTAGGCAAAGCAGTTCCCCGAGTCCCCCTTGCCATGCGCCCACGAGGAGTTGCAAGCTGATATGCCGCGCGCAGGTACGCCGGAGGCTGGGACACTCGCCGTGCACGCCCCAAGTTGCCAGTATCTTCGGAAGCAAGGGAAGTCTCCATTGTGCCCAGTTGACAGTGTTTGAGTGCACCGTACGCATTCCTTAGTGCTCGGATTGATATAGCAAAGTATACGGTACCCAGTGAACATTGCTCAACAACGGAAACACCCATTGTGAAAACCGTTCCCTCCAATCAAATTAAAAGGCAATCTCTGACAACCACTCGGAAACAACCTCCACGATTTCTGTCATCTTTGTAAGCGAATTCGCATCGGCCACCGATCCCCGTCATCTTTTGTCCGAAAACCCGTCCTCTCGCTATCAGTTCCGCTTACTCCGTCTTCGGTACACTTGCTATCATGCAAATTCGTAACACCTCCACATTCAACTCCAGATATCATTTACTAGCAAAATAGTACAGACACGATAGATTTCACATGCTTTCCACACGCATGCAAACATCAGTCGGGTACGGATGCCTTTTTCTATCCCACGGTACACTCATTTCCCACAGATATCCCAAGCACCATCCTGCTGCCTCCCACGACCAGCTTCATCTGTCTTGTCATCCGTGGACTTTGCATCGGCACTGCGGAGCCTCCCAAGCGCCCTGCTGTTGGTTGGTTCGATGGCAACGATCTCAGTGTCCTCACTTCCAGCCTTCTCTCCTTCACCCTCTCCTGCCGTGCCACCACCCTGCGCACCACTCTCCTTTCGCGGTCTCCCCCTTTTAGCAGGCGTTGCATTCTTCTTGGCCCGCGCTGCCTTCCGCATCACACCTTCGTACGCCTCCCTCCATACCCTCCAGCGCCACCACATGCGGGCATCCACCAGGACTTTTAGGACTTCAGGAGTGCACCCCTTCAAAGCTGCCCTATCCGCCGGTGTTAAAGCCACAGAGTTCCTGGTGCCCATGCCTGGCCTCAGCACGTGGGCTGCTGCCGCGTAGCAATACGCTGCCTCCTCTATCGTGGTGTAAGCGCCGACTCTCTTCGTTACCTTCTTTCCGTCCTTGTCCTTGGCGACAACCTTCACCCCAAACTTGCCTGTATCGGCCTCCACATACACCCCGGTGTACTTGGTCGGCTTTGTTCCTGGCTCGGTCTCCCCCTCTCCGTCCTCGTCAGAATCCTCTCCTCCGGCCAAGGGCTCCTGCTTAGGCACAGCTGTGAAGCCGGGGTGTGCGCCCGCACCGCTCTGCGCGATGCCGTAAACAGGATAGGATGGCTGGACTAGTGAAACCGCAGCTCCCTGCTGGCGCGACAACAGCCAGTGTGGAACCGTCCCGGGGATCGGCAGATGTGCCGGGAAGCAGGGGTACGCTCCAACGGCTGACGCGAACTTGCTGTCGAGCGACACTCTCGTGTTGGAGCCCACCAGATCCTCGTCAGGGCTGTCGTTCTACTGCTTCGTGTATCCTGAAGGCCGTACAGGAGTGGTTGGGCCGTGCTTGCGCGGATCATTACCTCCCGCTCCCTGCACAGCGCAGGCAGGCTTCTGCAGCATGTTTTCGCCGGCAGAGATCAGCTCCTCCCTCGACATCCCAAGCACCTGCCCAATTGCGGCGAATCCTGCAGTCATCGCACCGACCTCGCGCTTCAAGGAGCACACCTCCGCCTCGAGCCGGTCCACACGTCTTTGCTCTGTGTGTTGTCCGTCCTCTGCACCCTCCTTCAAAGTCGTGTTGGTGGTGGTGCCGCTTTCCTGCTTAAGAACATCCACGCCATCTTCCTCTAGCCTCCGGAGCAACTCCCCCATAGCGTGTGCGCATATATCAGCGCGCATGTTGCGGCGGTACTGCAGCGCGCTGACCCCTTTGAACCACAGGCCACTCTTCAAGTTGGCGAAGTCGGAGTAGACCAAAACTTTCAAGTAGTGGCAGATGAAGACTCCGCAGTCAAAACCATTCTCTTGCTTAGGGATGTGGTTCGCCTGCACACAAAGAATCCGCACACCGGGTAGCCGCTTTTCACCTTATAAACCTCAACTGCCTAACACCAAAAACACCAGAACAGCCGCCCTTACCGTGAGGACATGACAGGGAACGTCCTTCAGCAGCAGTTCAAAATTCGACATGTCCACATGTGGGTGCGTCTGCTTGGCGAGAGTTGTCAGCAACCTGCATCACGTCTCATATGAGGAACCCGGTTACTGTCAAACATTATACATGTTGTATTTGTGTAGGCTGCAGTGGGTTAGCCTATAGGGGGGTCACAACATTAGGGTTTTATATTTGTACTCACAATCCTTGCTAGTCCATCATTCCTGCCTGTTCATTCTGACATGGTATCAGAGCAGGTCCTTTGCTAGGACCGCTCCTAGGGCCCACCGCTACCTACCTACCTACCTACCTATCGTGCGCCCTCGTGCGCCCTCGTGCGCCCTCGTGCGCCTCTCACTACCGAGCGCCCTCGTGCGCCTTAGCGCCCTTGTGCGCCTCTACCTACCGCACGCCCTCGTGCGCCTTAGCGCCCTCGTGCGCCTCTACCTACCGCGCGCCCTCGTGCGCCTCTACCTACCGCGCGCACGCAACCCGCTAGCCGCCCGTGCGCGGCCGATTTTTCGCGCGCGCGCCTCGCTAGCCGCCCGCGCGCGGCCGATTCTTCGTGCGCGCGACCAGCTAGCCGCCCGCGCGCGGCTTAGGGTTTGTCACGCGACCCGTCGCAGCCTTGTGCGGCTCCGCGCACTGCCCGCGAGCTGCCCGCCGCTGCAGGCTCTCGCCGCCCGCCGCGTCGCCTTTCCCGTGGCGTCGTCACCTCCCTACCCGCTCGTGGCGGCCCTTTCAGCCGCCGTCGCGGCTCCTTACCCACGCATCGCGGCCCCTTAGCCGCCCGTCGCAATCCCTCAGCCGCCCCTTCGCGGCTTCGACTTCGTCTGCAGCAGCTGCCGCTACCGAACCTGCAGCAGCAGCCGCCGCCGACCTGCAGCAGCTGCCGCCGCCGAGCCTGCAGCAGCAGCCGCCGCCGACCTGCAGCAGCTGCCGCCGCCGAGCCTGCAGCAGCAGCCGCCGCTCGACCTGCAGCAGCTGCCGCCGCCGAGCTTGCAGCAGCAGCCGCCGCTCGACCTGCAGCAGCTGCCGCCGCCGCGCCTGCAGCTGCAGCCGCCACCGACCCTGCAGCAGCAGCCGCCGCCGAGCCTACAGCAGCGGCCGCCGCCGACCCTGCAGCAGCAGCCGCCGCTCGACCTGCAGCAGCTGCCGCCGCCGAGCCTACAGCAGCGGCCGCCGCCGACCCTGCAGCAGCTGCCGCGGAGCTCCCTGCTACGACCTGGCCCCGCCCCGCTGTTGCAGCGGCCACGCTGTCGCCACTGTCTTGCGCCCGCCGCACCAACCACTGGTGAGCTTTGCCGTGCTAGCACTGCTACCGTTACTGCTGCTGCTACTGCCTTTACTGCTCCTGCTGTTGCTGCCGCTACTGCTGCTGCTCCTGACGTGGCCAGATGCAGCTCCAGCAGGCTCGTGAGTGGTACGCCGGCTTGGGCAGTCGGGGTGGCCGTAGTGGTAGTCGCTCTGGAGTGCGTCGTTCGGGAGCCTCTGGTAGTAGACCGGTGCAGCAGACGTGCCCTCTTCTGCTCCAGCAGGCTCGTGAGTGGTACGCCGGTTTGGGCAGTCGGGGTGGCCGGCGTGGTAGTCGCTCTGGCGTGCGTCGTTCGGGAGCCCCTGGTAGTGGACAGGTGCAGCAGCCGTGCCCTCTTCTGGTCCAGCAGGCTCGTGAGTGGTACGCCGGTTTGAGCAGTCGGGGTGACCGTAGTGGTAGTCGCTCTGGCGTCCGTCGTTCGGGAGCCTCAGGTAGTGGACAGGTGCAGCAGCCGTGCCCTCTTCTGCTCCAGCAGGCTCGTGAGTGGTACGCCGGTTTGAGCAGTCGGGGTGGCCGTAGTGGTAGTCGCTCTGTGAGTGAGGCAGCCGCTCTCGGTGCCAGTACGTCTGTTGCCCTCGGTGCAGGTGAGGCTACCACTCCCGGTACTCGCGTGTCTGCTACTCCAGGTGCTGGTGAGCCTACTGCTCTAGGTGCTAGTGCGTCTGCTGCTCCAGGTGCTCGCGTGTCTGCTACCCCAGGTGATGGTGAGGCTGCTGCCCTAGGTGCTAGTGCGTCTGTGCCCCCTGGTACTGAGTCGACTGCAGCACTGCACACCTTCACCCTGGACTCAGGTGCTTCTCGCTCCTTCTTTCGTGACCGCACTGTCCTTGAGCCACTTGCTCGGCCAGTTGCTGTCTCCCTTGCTGACCCCTCTGGGGGTCCGGTCATTGCGACCTCCTCCACTGTCCTTCCTTGTCCTGCGGTCCCGTCCGGCACGCTGTCAGGTCTCTACCTCCCCTCGTTCTCTACGAACTTGGTGGCGGGTTGTGCGCTCCAGGACTCGGGTGTTCACCAGTTCACCCCTGCCTACGAGCGCGTGACACACTGCACGTGTGCTCGGACGGGTCGCCACCTGGCTACTTTCACTCGAGAGCCGGGGTCGGACCTGTACACATTGACCACTGAGTCCCCTCAGGTAGCTGCGTCTGCGTCTGCGTCTGCGTCAGGTCAGCTGTCCGCCCCCTGCTCGTGTCGCTCTCTGGCGCATGAGACTGTCCTTTGGCACCACCGCCTTGGTCACCCGTCTGTGCAGCGCCTTCGGGCCATGCACAAACGGGACCTTGTTGCTGGTCTTCCCAGGGTGCTCCCTCCCCTTCCCGACTCGCCTGCTCCTCCCTGTATTCCCTGTGTCGAGGGACGGCAGCGCGCCGCTCCTCACTCCTCCTCCTTTCCCCCGACGACTGCTCCCTTGCAGACGCTCCACATGGACGTGTGGGGCCCAGCCCGCGTCCGTGGTCAGGGTCAGGAGAGGTACTTTCTGATTGTTGTTGACGACTTCTCGCGCTACACCACGGTCTTCCCCTTGCGCGCCAAGGGTGACGTCCCTGATGTCTTGATCCCTTGGATCCGCAGATCTCGTCTCCAGCTCAGTGAGCGTTTCCGCTCCGACTTCCCTGTCCTGCGTCTGCACTCTGACAGAGGTGGGGAGTTTTCCTCTGGCCTATTGGAGGCCTTCTGTCAGCAGGAGGGCATTGAGCAGTCGTACACGCTTCCGGCCTCTCCACAGCAGAATGGGGTTGCTGAGCGCCGCATTGGTCTGGTCATGGAGGTCGCTCGTACCTCCTTGAGCCACGCGGCTGGCCCCCATTTTCTGTGGCCGTTTGCAGTCCGATACGCTGCGCATCAGCTCAACCTCTGGCCCCGTGTCTCCCTGCCCGAGACTTCTCCGACACTGCGTTGGACGGGAGAGGCTGGCGATGCGTCGCGTTTTCGGGTCTGGGGATCCCGAGCTTTTGTCCGCGACACGTCCGCGGACAAGCTCTCCCGTCGCGCTGTCCCCTGCGTCTTCCTTGGCTTTGTCCCGGACGCCCCTGGCTGGCAGTTCTACCACCCCACCTCGCGTCGTGTCCTGGCCTCTCAGGACGTCACTTTTGACGAGTCCGTCCCCTACTACCGCCTCTTCCCCTACCGCACTGCCCCGCTCCCCCCCCCGCCTCTCTTCCTCGCTCCAGGTGCTGAGGTACCAGACCCCCCCCCTCTCAGGGTGCCGCTCCCTCAGGTGTGTCCCAGGTAGACCCGGGTGAGCCTGTCGAGGTAGCTGTTGACTCTCGTCCTGCTAGGGGTGCTGAGCCTGGGGGTGCTGAGCCTGCGGGTGCTGAGCCTGGGGGTGCTGCGTCTGGGGGTGCTGAGCCTGGGAGTGCTGAGTCTGGGGGTGCGGAGCCTGGGGGTGCTGAGCCAGGAGGTGCGGAGCCTGGAGGTGCGGAGCCTGGAGGTGCTGAGCCTGGGGGTGCTGAGTCTGGGGGTGCTGAGCCTGAGCGTGCTACACCTGGAGGAGCCCTCTCCTCCCAGCAGCTGCAGGAGAGGTACCTCGAGTACTGCCGCCTCCGGAGAGGTGCTGCTGGAGCTCGTCCCGGTACTTCCCCTCCTACCCAGGAGCTCCCCCCCATTCAGCAGATCCGCGAGTGGTACACACGGCGCTGCAGTCTTCGGAGTGGTGCTCCTGGTGCTGCCGACTCTGGGGGTGGCGCTGCGGCTGGTGCTGAAACCCCGGACGTTGGAGCTGCTGCTGGTGCTGCGGACCCGCCTGGTGGAGCTGCTGCTGGTGCTGAGGACTCGGACGTTGGAGCTGCTGCTGGAGCTGAGGACCCGGGCGGTGGCGCTGCTGCTGGTGCTGAGGACCCGGACGGTGGAGCTGCTGCTGGTGCTGAGGACTCGGACGGTGGAGCTGCTGCTGGAGCTGAGGACCCGAGCGGTGGCGCTACTGCTGCTGCTGAGGACCCGGGCGTTGGAGCTACTACTGGTGCTGAGGACCCGGCCGGTGGAGCTGCTGCTGGTGCTGTGGACCCGGACGCTGGAGCTCCTACTGGTACTGAGGACCCGGCCGCTGGAGTCTCCTCTGCTTCTGGAGACGCTGCGCGGCCGCGACCGTACTTCGTACCGCTCCTTTAGCAGGTTCTTGGGCAGGCTCCTCCTCCTTGTCCTCCTCCCTCCGTAGAGTGTCCTCCGCCTGTCCAGCCGCAGTCACAGTTACCGCCTACCTCGCCTCTCCCTGCTCCCTCTCCTTACACTGGTCCCACAGGAGGTCTTACAGAGCGTCGTGAGCCTGAGTCTCGTCCTGCGTCGCCTGTTCGTCCTGCTCGCACTGGTAGTTGTGTCCGTCGTGAGCGTCCTCCTCCTGTCCCAGGCACTCACTACATGACTCTGCGTCCCTCTACTGCTCCTCAGCGTGTCCCTCTACCGTCTCCTCCTGCGTCCTCTTTGCCTGACGTTCCGGACCCTGAGTCTGACCGGTATCGTGCTGAGCACCCTACTGTCACGCGTCTCCTCGCTACTGTTGTCACTGACCCTACCTTTGAGTCCTCGGCTGCGTCTGCTCTGGTCGCTGAGTTGGTTGACTTTGCTGCTGCCTGTCGTCTAGACTACGCTGCTAGCCTTGTTGCTGAGTCTGAGTCTGAGTCTGTCTGTCCTCCGTCCGTCAGGGGTGAGTGTGCTTTTGGCACGGACGTCCTTGAGGACAGACAGGAGGAGTTCCAGTGTCTTGCTGCTGCTTTGCCCCGTCTCGTGTCCTTACTAGTTGCCCCTGAGGGAGACCCGGATGCACCAGACATCCCGACCCCGCGCACTTACGCTGAGGCGATGGCGGGTCCCTACTCCTCTCAGTGGCAGACAGCCATGGACGCCGAGATGGCTTCCTGGAAGTCCACACGCACCTACGTCGACGAGGTTCCCCCTCCTGGGGCGAACATCGTCAGTGGCATGTGGATTTTCAGGGTGAAGCGGCCGCCGGGTTCTCCGCCTGTCTTCAAGGCTCGTTACGTGGCTCGAGGCTTCAGTCAGCGAGAGGGAGTTGACTTCTTCCAGACCTTCTCCCCCACCCCGAAGATGACTACTCTTCGGGTGCTGCTGCACATAGCCGCTCACCGCGACTACGAGCTTCACTCACTTGACTTCAGCACTGCTTTCTTGCAGGGCAGCCTGCACGAGGAGATCTGGCTGCGCCGCCCACCTGGCTTCACTGGGTCGTTTCCTCCTGGTACCCAGTGGAGGCTTCAGCGGCCGGTCTACGGTCTCCGCCAGGCACCGTGTGAGTGGCACGACACACTGAGGACTACACTTGCGGCTCTTGGGTTCGCGCCTTCTACAGCTGACCCGTCGCTGTTCCTGCGCACCGACACTTCGCTGCCGCCGTTCTACATCCTCGTGTACGTCGACGACTTGGTCTTTGCCACTGCTGACACTGCAGGACTCGCCTACGTGAAGTCGGAGCTGCAGAGGAGACACACGTGCACAGACCTGGGTGAGCTGACAAGCTATCTTGGCTTGCGGATCACCCGGGACAGAGCACGGCGCACCATCACCCTGACTCAGTCACACATGGTGCAGCAGGTTCTCCAGCGCTTCCGCTTCACGTACTCCTCGCCTCAGTCCACTCCTCTGCCTACCGGTCACTCGCTCTCAGCTCTGCCTTCGGATGAGTCCGTAGAGCCGAGTGGCCCGTATCCAGAGCTTGTGGGCTGCCTCATGTACCTGATGACCTGCACTCGACCTGACCTTGCATACCCTCTTAGCATCCTTGCACGCTATGTCGCTCCTGGCCGTCACAGGAAGGAGCACATGGATGCCGCTAAGAGGGTGTTGCGCTACTTGTGCAGTACGTCGGGCATGGGGCTTGTGCTTGGAGGGCGAGACCGAGTTGTTCTCACAGGGCACTCAGACGCTTCTTGGGCAGACGACCAGGCCACTCAGCGGTCGTCTCAGGGTTACACCTTCAGCCTTGGCTCTGGCTCAGTTTCTTGGCGCTCTACACGCTCTTCTTCTGTTCTCGGCTCCAGTTGCGAGGCTGAGATCTACGCTACAGCCATGGCTGCCCAGGAGCTACGCTGGCTGACCTACCTGCTGACCGACCTCGGAGAGCGGCCTCGTTCTCCTCCAGTACTGTACGTCGACAACAAGGCTGCCATTGCCTTGTGTGAGGAGCACAGACTGGAGCACAGAACGAAGCACATCGCCCTGCGGTACTTCCTTGCTCGAGAGCTGCAGCAGCGCGGTCAGCTTTGTATTCGCTACGTGGCCACTGAGGCCAACACTGCTGATGTGTTCACCAAGGCGCTTCAGCCTCGTGACCATCAGCGCTTCTGCACTCTACTAGGCCTTGTGCCTACTGGACCTCACTTGCTTACCTCTTGACTTTGCTTGTACTGTGATCACTATATATATCTATACCTGCATGTTTACTCTTGCTAGGTTGTGATCACTGTATCTCTTGCTCTGTTATAAACTTGCATGTGAACTGGTCTTGTGACCACTAGCTTGTGCTCGGAATTTGTGTGGAATCCTTGAGATCCACCCTGAGCTTGTTGTTGCCTTGCTTTGCCTTGACTGGTCTTGTGACCCCTAGGTCTCCCCCACTTTGCCTATGGGGGTGTGTCAAACATTATACATGTTGTATTTGTGTAGGCTGTAGTGGGTTAGCCTATAGGGGGGTCACAACATTAGGGTTTTATATTTGTACTCACAATCCTTGCTAGTCCATCATTCCTGCCTGTTCATTCTGATAGTTACATCCACGCCGGTGTTAACAACCACCATATTACGGCTTATGCTACAAACACTTACAGCTTCACGCCACTGAAAACCTTCTGTGTACTCATGGGGGCCTTGGAGCTGTCGAACAACACCATTTCCAGCGGAGGGCTATCCTTCCTTGCCATCTTATCCACCAGACGGTGGGGTGATACGACTATCACCAATGAGTAGTGCTCTCTGCAGGGAGGCAAGCGACAGTAAACGGCAGTGTTTAGTACGGCCGATGAAGAATGCATGCAACTCACGGGTGTTGCTGAACTACTCAAACAGCTCGATGATTACCCCCTGTAGACAGGGACCGCCAGGTAGTCGTGCTCAAGGAGAGGCAGGCCGTTTCCAGCATTGACGGGAGTATTGTGCTCAGTCGTGTTCGCGAAGTTGTTGCAATCGACAGCCGCCCATGTCTTCCCGTTTGACAGTTTCGGCACTCGGATGCTTAGTAGCCTGGAAACACACGCCGGACATGTTGGAAAGTCGGCATAAAGGGAGGGCATCGGATCCTCCTGCTGCGATTTAACATGTTTTAAAAAAAACAAACAACGTGCACGTAGCCGGGCGAAACCGTTACTCACACGTTGTGGAAGTCTATCGCCCCGTCAGTCACCCATGTGTTGTCCGCGATGGAGGCGAGATCCTTCTTGTCGACTGTGCTGACCACGTCGCGATGGTTCTTGAGCTCCACGTTGCGATATTCGACTTTGAAATAATTCTTCTCCAACGCCGCCACCAAATCGTCGGGCTGAGGGAGGTCAGCAGGCGTGCTGGCTGCACCGTCAGCGACTTCCATGGTCTTTCCCTTGTCATCCTCCACCGCCCGTCGTTGCCTTTTTTTGTTAGAGCCGGCGGCCTTTCCCTTACGCGACCTTGTCGCACGCACTTCTCTTATCTCGGACTCGGAGCAGCCGCTCGATTCTTGGCTGCCGGTGTGCGCGTTTTTCGGAGGCATGGTTGGCGCGGGATGAGGGGAAGGATGCGATTTCAGAATCAGGTGTACTAGGGCCCGGCCACGGTTCCCACGGTAAACTAAAACCGTTAGGGTTCTCCTGCGAACGAATTTGGGAAAGCGCAATAGCCCGTGGCAAGAAGGCAGCAAAAGTGGTCACATCCCCTGATGGATGACAGATCTCCAGATAGGGTTACTCGAAGTTCGTCGCATCATGCACAGGTCACCGAGATGATGACAGCTGGGCACCGCAGAATGGTCTGGAATAGTTGGATGAGTGCATGTCATTGCTCCGTAGCCAGCACGACATCGAGAGGCTCCTAATAACGGGGGTGCGTGTATGACTTGTTTTATATCAGGCATTTTCATTTCGAAATGGAGTGTAGCGTCGATAAAGTAGTGGTCCAGTTGGTAGGGCCAACTCCCGTTTGTTTCGACTTATGATGATATAAAGTGATACGACAATGCACAAACGCGTACATCTGGCTCATGACGTAAGGTACGAAATTGGCACTTCCTCGCACGAATTGCTAGTACACCGCTGTGGGCAAGGTGTAGACACGGGGCCACCTGGCCAGTGTAGCAGTGATCAAACAGTGCCGGATGGGAAAGCCCCTGTTTACGGGACGCGTACGTGGGAGCACGTGCACGTATACGCGGCATGTAAAGTCTCGTTGAAGATTTGTAATATAATAGCGCTTATAATGGGCTGATAGTTTCTGCTATTGTTTCGTGGCCAAATTTACGTAGGTAAATATTATCAATAGTAAACGGATAGAGTTGCACACTATTTGTTTGCTTCATCGACGTAGTCTTATACACATAACGTCTATCTTCACATGGCTATTTTAACAACCAAGTGTATTCTTACGTACATGTAGTGTGTACGAAGCACTGACGCCTCGTATGTTGCCGCGCACGGCCGTGGACGATATGAAAACCGACTACCTCAACCATTGCTAGTGGTCGGATTAGGGTTTGTAGCAAGTCCGAGATGACGGGAAACAAGTGCGGAGTGTGCGGTAAGGAATTTCCTAGCGACCGTGACTTGCAGTCTCATCTCTCAGACAGAACGAAATGCGGGGACTCGTTGAAGAGAAATCTCGAGCAGCTTATGTTTGATGCTTACCTGGATGCGCTAAACAGTGTTGGGCAAAAACGCCAGCGCAGCCCTGCTACGTCTGGGGCCAAAACCAACCCTATACCTACGAACTTGCCGCCAGAGGGCTCACCGCCGCAGGCGACGGAGGCAGATCATGAGGCGGACGATGGCGACTCAAAAAGCTCTACTTCTTCGGAGGCCAGCGACGTCTCCGACTTCTTCGACACGCTCACGGAGCTGTACCTGTTTTTCCGTGACGCGGACTTATCACGCCGTGAAGTCAACAGACTGCTTAACATATTCCGTAACCCTCAGTTCAGTTTGAAGGAATTACGCAAGTGGCGCAGCTACGCCGACGTGAAGCGATGGGGGAAAGAGCGTGCGCCGCCAGATATGGTTCCATGGAAAACAGAGCATATCGTCGTGCACGGGCCCAGAGGAATGTCCCAAAAGCTTCTCTTGCACTTCCGCGACACAGAGCTGGTGAGCTTGTCGTCATCTGCGTACCGCCCTTATTCGGCTTAGGTGTTGTGACAGATGGCGTGTAACGTGCCTATCTATATTTGTATTGTCGCGCATGCTTGCTATGGCCATGCTCTGATGTGCAGCTTGTGAAGAAGCTAGTCCGCATTTTTTCGCGGAGGAAGGGTTTCGTGTGGAAGCCACAGGAGAAGTACAACGAGAAGGGGAAGCGCGTTTTCGAGGGGCCAGAAACAGGCACGTGGATGCACGAGGCGCAGGTGCGTTGCCTGGCTGAAACAGTGCATGTCCGATGCAGGGGCGTGGTACTGTAATAACCACCTCGGTGTGTGCGTGTGGCAGAAAGAGATCAAGGACGACAAGGCTCTGATTCTCGGGGTCATCGTGTACAGCGACAGCACTCAGGCGTCGCGCAACGGGCGGCGGAATGCGTGGCCTGTTCTGATATCGCTTATTAACATTCCGGAGGAATTGAGGTGGTTTGATCTGGGCCACACTCTTGCGGCAGTGTTGCCATTCTGTCCGGAATGGGCTAGTCCGACAGAGAAGGCCCGTGTTTTCCAGGAGGCGCTGAAGATCATCCTAGGACCCCTGATGCGGGAAACCGCAAGGTACGTTTGGCGGCATGTGTGTTGGTTATTCACGCGGTAGACGCGTTGCTTGTGACGTACCTGTGATCCGTTACCTATTCGAAATCCCTTTCTGTATCCAGTGCTCCTGTGAGGTACTTTTATGTGACAGACGCCACCGGCAATGTGGTCAAGGCGGTACCTTGCCTCTATGGGTACCCTGGTGACTATCCAGAGAACAGTAGGGCCTCAGCCACGCTGCAGACGGGCACTCATCGCCCCTGCGCTAACTGCTATGCAGAAGTGGGAGAGCTGAAACGGCTGACTGCTAAAATAGATCCACGCACACCTGAGCGGCAGAAGGACATTGTGCGACAGTTTTTTGCGTTCGCCAAAAAGGAGGACGCCCGGAAGTACATGAGCCAGTGGTCAACCCATCCGATAGAGGTATGTTGCAGTTTGCCATTGTGCCGTGGAAACATTCGTTCGACTCGTGGCGACACTGTACATATAGGGTTGTGACGTGCTTCCTTCTGTGCGCAGTGCGTGCTGGCGCGGTGGAACTTTGGGAACACCACCTGGGGGAACGTCTACCTCGCATGTTTGGCTGACATTTTACACGTGATGGACTCTGGTGTCTTCGTACACATGATGGAAGAATACCTTTCCCCCCTGGGGAAAGTCGAGATCCGCATCCTGGAGAGGTGAGCCGTGTAGATCATCAGTGCGGTGTTTTGGGGTGGTCAGGGCTTTGTCAGTTCCTTGGAACGGGTTTTATGGCTTGGCCGAGATGCGTAACTAGCTCGTTGGTCCCTATTGCGTGGCAGGCGGAAGAAGGACCTCAAGAGCGATACTCCAAGTGTGCTGCTGCGGATTCCTGGGGGATCATCATTCTTCCTTTCTGGTGCCCACTATGCGGCGTTCGAACATCGTGCCATGATGCAAATCATGCCGATCCTCATTGCGGATTCTAGTGCATTGAAGAAGGGCGAGGCGGAAGAGTTGAGGGCGCTGCAGGTTAGAGCATTCCGTTATTACGCCCTGTTCTACAAGGCGTTTTTGGGAGTGGCGGCGCACACCCGTGCCACGCTGAAAGAGGCCAAGCAACGTGCTGTTGCGTAAGTACGGTGGTTGGAGACGTGTGTTGATTGCAATCCTTGTGCACCCTTAACCCTGTGCTTTGCAGTCTGCTGTTAGAACCTCTGAGCTGCACAACTGTTTGCTATGCAGGTTGATGGAGCTGCTGCCCAAAGCTTTCCCGGACCAGGCGTCAAAGTGGGAAATTCCCAAGATCCACATGATCAAGCATCTTCTCGAGAACGTGGAAGCAAGGGGGATGCCACACCACTACAGCACGGAGATGTGGGAGCGCACTCACAAGGGGACAGTGAAGGGTCCCGTGAGGGGGAGCAACTGGGCTGACATTCCGAGGAGAATTGTGGATGAGGAGATGCAGCGGGAGATTTACAGAGAAGTGGCTCTCGATGCGGGAGGAGGTCGGCAGTACGTGTCAGCGCTGCGTGTGGTGAGTGTTAGGGTGCAAGCAAGACTAGGGGTGGTGCGCTGGGCGACTCACGCCCTGTACTAGGTGCGTGTTTGCTATGCACTCTCATTCAGTGCATGCTGTGTCGCCGGTGGTTGTGTGCGGCAGGCCGTGGAAGAGATGGAGCCAGTGCTAACGAAGAAGTTCAGGGTCATGCGCCTCGGAGGCACCGCGGACAAGGTGTTTGCCGAGTACGCAGCGGTATTTGGGGATCAGATGGCGGGCCTACCAGGTCAGCTGCGGGAGATGCAGTTGAACCCTGGCAGTGTGCAGGTAATCCTTTTTTGTGGTGCGCGGATTGTGCGGAACGAGTGACATTGCCTGACCTCTTTGATTTGTGCGTGGTGCTTGCCTTATTGCAGACACACACAGCAGTGGCCATACCACGTACGCAGGGTGGGGTGCTTGTGGCGAAGGGGACGTTCGTCAAGGCGTCCCCGCGAGAGAACCTGTTCTCAGATGTGGCACTCCTGGCTCCTGAAGGCGGGGATTGGTTTGCTAGATGCCTATGTATTTTCAAGGCGTTGAACGCGGAGGGCAAGTGGACTGGGTGTGCCTACGTGAGGTACTACGAAGCAGCAGGCCAGTGTCCCATCACAACGTGCACCCAGTTGCATCCAGCTCGAGAGAGTGTCCGGTTCGCAGTGGTGTTGCTGAAGAGCCTGCAGAGGGTTGTCCACGTATGCCCATCGTACAGCAACCCTCGTCTGCTGCTGGTTAACAAGTTTCTACTCTGCGAGTAATTGGAGTAGGGCTGTGTGTTTGGAACTGTGGATAGGTGGTTTTGTTACACTCCTAGAAGGGGTGGAATTGTGGAATTGTGGCATTCAGGGGTGCATGGGAACCTGGGTAAGGGAAGGAGAGTGCGCACCCGAATAGTACGCAGGTCTCGTGGTTGGATTTGGTGGGCTTGTGTGGTGGGAATGTGGGATTTTGAAAATGCACCGTCATACTGGATTTTTGGCGGCCGGTGTGTGGATTGAGGCAATGCTTGTAACGGATTTGGTTATTACGGCAGTAGGTTCACGGCACTGGTGTGCGGATTTGGGTGTTGTGGCTGAAATGCAGGGACACTCTTGTTACGGAATCCAATTGGATATGTGGCTGGGGCTAATGGTTCGATGTTCGGATTTCTAGTGCGTGTGACTGGCAGGTGCGCATTTGTGTGACGTGTACGACAGCAGAGGTTGACAGGTTGGGCCAATGGGAACTGCGCAATTGTGTACCTGGCATTTAGTGGACAGTGTTCAGTTGGAGAGCGATTCAGTGGTTGCTGCACATGTGGAGCGCCTAAAAGGCAGCACATGTGGTGGTGGAGAGTACGGTTGGGGTTTTTGGTGGATTATTTTGGGGACGTCCACCATTTCATCTCCAGCGTCCCACACGTTGTCCGGGGTGTGCTGGTGGCCAGTATGAGCTCGGTGAAGCCCCCGTTGAAGGACATCGTACAGAAGCTGAAAGTGCTCCCCGACGATGTGTTTCTGTTTGTGGAGATACCGTTTATGCCCAGCCGGTTGCCGAAGACCAAGATACCGGGGAGGAACGGAACCCCGTGCGACCGGATCATAAGTGTCGGCTTCTTGTACAATGCGACGGGGACCTGCACCACGGTGCCCCTTGTGGTGTTGCGCCATGACGAGCGCCCCGAACCTAGGCGCAGCGGGGATCCTGCACCGGCGGTGATTGTGCGCTACACGAAGAGTGGGCGCCTCACACCCGAGGTATGTGGGCCGATTTCGAGTGGACTCCCTCCAACACATGTGTATAATGTTGTGGCTGCATTTCAACCCTGTTTCTGTGTGATACCCTAATTCCGCGCTGGCGCTGTCGTGGCTTGGCGGTGCGCAGGTGTTTACCGAGTTTTTTCAGACAATTGATGGGGTGCAGCTTAGCCGTGGAAGGAAGACGGTTGTGTTCACCTACAACACGGCGCACCGCATTACCGCGAATGACGCGGAGACCACGGTGGAGCATGGGCTGACTATGGTGCATTTCACGCACACACGCTTTGTGGACCTGACAGACGTTGTGCACTGGTCCAGTATGCCGTTTTTGCACGGCGTGGTGGACGCTTTCAAGGCTGAGTATCGTGTGATACTGATGAGACGCGCGGTGCGGTCCAATCTGTTCCACGAGGATTTCGAAGCGCCGTTTTCCCTGGTGAATTACGGTGTTATGCTGCTGTGGGTGGGCTTGGCATGGAAGGCGCTGACGGCGGCAACGATGCAAAGGAGCTGGTGGAGGGCGGGATGCGTCCCGGAGTCATGGTGGGAGCTGATGTGGCACCTGCACGGCATGTACTCGGCCGGCATGTACGATCCCCTGGTCTCTACCACGGCGGACCTCCTGGTGCTGCTACGTGAGTTCCGTGTGCGGCCGGCTATTTATATGCCGGTGTCCGATTACGTGACATGCGATGAGTGGTTAATGGAGAAGGCTGGTGTGAAGTTGGTGACGCCCACGACGCCGACGTCTTCAGGGGACGAGGGCGAGATGTGCCTGCCGGATGGGCCTCTGATGCGTGACGAACGAAGCCGACGACGTGCCATCCGCAATGTGACGAACGCGTACGTGTGTCACGCGGAGGCGCTGGGGATTGCTCCTGCGGAGGTGGCGACTGTCGTTGGCGCCTCTGATGGAGAGGTGGTTAGCCGCCTAAGCCGCACACCGAAGAAGCGAGCGCGCAGTTCGGGGTCGTCGGACAGTGGGTCCGTGTAGTGCGCTTGGTTTCGATGCTGTAGTGGGAACCCGGGGAGTGTTTGTTGGAGGGCATGCCTCGAAGGGTGGGCTCATCTTTGTAGTTGTGGTTGCTGGTTGACAGTAGGGTTTGGGTTTTTGTGATGTTGTACTTTGTATTGCTGAGTGCTGGAGTTGCAAGCGAATGACACGGTTTACACATTATGAAGTAGACGGTGTGCAGAGCAGTGTAGTTTGGTTTGTTCAGTATATACAGTTGCTCGGAGTAGGTGTGCATTTATCGTTTCTGTGGTCCCTGTAGCGGGGGAGGGGCGACACGACAATACCGAGTATGTGTGGCGTTTTTGGCTCGAGCCGCATGTGTTCGAGGCGCATTCGTAGAGGCGGCGCGGATAATGGCGCAGGTGACCCCAAAGTGACATTTTGGTGGCGGTAATGTTGTGGTCCAGTGTGCGGTTATTGATCGCGCCAATGTTGCGTTTTACGGTCCTTGTTTTTCGGACACTTGTCGCAACAATCACGCAAGCCCCACGCAGAAAAACCTTCGGACACCCCAAAACGCAATTTCCCTTTTCCGCGATGACCTGCACGCGGCCGTCCAACGTGAACTGCTGCTGCACGCTCTCCCGGATCCACTCCCACGGCACGGGCCCTGGCAGCCCGAAGTTGCTGATCAGGAACCGCGATTCCTCGCCGCTGCATTGCGCGCCACTGCCCGTGCGTGCACCCCCCAGCACTGCCACTGCGTGTGGTGGGAACGAGGGCGCAGCGGAGGGTTGCGGGGCAGGGAGGGCGCAGGGAGAAATGAGAACGCGGCAAGGAGGCATGAGATATATTTTTTTTCACGAGCAGGGAGGGTGCAGGCTGGTGGATGTCCAGTCAACGCGCGGTTTAAAACGAGCACGCGGCAATCTGGTGTTAGGCACGGATGCGCGGCGGGAGGTCCTATCATCATGATGGGGCTACGCAAACACGCAAACGCACACAGCCGCACGGCACGGCACTGGCGGGTAACGCGGAATGGGATGGGGGGGAATGGGGGGGTGGCGGAGGAGGAGGAGAAGGGGGGGGAGGGGGGGAATCTGGGATCGCACTGTTGAGCAAGATGATTGTTGAATCTGGAATCGCGAGGAAAGGGAAGGAGGCGTGGCGGCGGCGGCTTACGGAATCCGAGGGAGTTGAAGTTGATGGCTACCGAGATGACGAAGAGCACGATAGAAGCGGCGAGGACGACGTAGGGTGCAGCTTTGGACCACGAGATGGGCTTTGCGCGCTCGCGCGACGATGCGCCCAACCGCCCCTGCCCGGCCGCCATTCGCACTGCGCGCCCGCCACTGCTCCGAGCACTTACGGCGGCCTTACGCTGGACAACGCGCACTATAAGGGCGGGAGGAAATTACGAGGAACGGAGGGTTGCCGGTGTGGTAGTGTGGGGTTGGTGAAAGCAGTTTGTGGCTGTGTGTGCTTTTGTACTGCTGCCTAATCGGTTTGTGACGACAGCTACAACATATCGTACGTCTCTTCACCATTGTTGTCTGAAAGCTTTTCACGCATGTGGACTTCAACGGACTTCATTCGACGTCAATGGGTGATGTTGATCGGCTTTCCAGCGAGGAGTGGCGAAGTCTGTCAGAAAGATCTGCATCTTGATTGGCGGGAGCGCTAAATTCACGCAGTTCCCCGCCAAAGCGCTCGGGGTCTGACCCTACAGGATCCAAACCCAGTTTGACACAGGTTGTACACCACAACCACAGCGGTGTGTGCCAAGCACGGGCATTGGGGGCAAGGCTCTCTTTTGCAGGGTGTTTTACCCTGTTTGCCCTGCCAAACAGGGTGGTATTTTGGTGCAACCTTGCCAAAACTGGGTCCCACCAGGAGGTCACCCGGCCACAATCCGAGTGCCTATTTATTTTATACGGCTGCAGCAGGCTTGCCATGGTTTTAACCCTGCAGGTGAAGAGTTCCTGAGAGAAACACCCGACCTCTTCGCATAGCTGTTCATGGGATTCGGCTCACGAAAATTCTCCCTTGCCAAAAAGTCCTATGGGCCGTTCCTCTGAACACCGTACTGAGGCTCACAGAGACAGATGTAGAGCAATGCTGTTGTCCTGTAGGGCCGATTTGATGATTCTCCACCTTTGCTGTTAAATATGTTAAGTGCTGAGACTCGCAGCGACAGCTGTAAGGGGTGCTGTGCCAGTCACAACATTTGCGGCAAAACATGGTCCGTGGTAAATTCACCCTGCCACAAATCAGGTGTGGCGAAAAATCACCCTGCCACTACCCTGATTTTGCCGCGCGCCACTCGGCTTGGCCGGGTAACGAGCGACGGGAACCCTGATTTGGAAGAGTGCCCTAAAATGAAAAGAGAGCCCGGATTTGGGGATTGGCTTGCCCCATGTTGAAACTCATTTAGGGTTGTTATTATGAGTTGTCAAAAGGGAGAGTGAGCATAATTTTATAGCTATAAGGAAGTTTCCATTTCTTTACGCCGCATCTCTCCTTAGCGCGTACATCACTGTACCCGCCACACTCGCCACCGTTACCACTCATGACATTCGCCTCGACCATTTCCCGCCACCTCGCCCGTCGCACCCCAACCTCACGGCTTGGCTGGTAACCCGTGCTCCGGGCCTCCGCTTCGAGACTTCTCGACCTCAGTCCCAACCTGAGTCATAGGCCCGTAGCGCACCACCCACAGTTCGTTACCGTTACCACAGTGGCCTTCGCTATTTAGTTCTCGCTCATTCCTTCGCTCATTGTACTGTTTTGCTTTGTTAATGCAATTCTCGCTCGCTCGCTCGATTGCACTCGTAACAGTAGCTAAGAATTGATTACAACTACTCCTTGATTACAACTATCTAGGCTTGGTCCCCAGGATCGCAAAAGATGCATGCTGGATCAGGTTGTCAAACTCGAAGGCGATGCGAAGTATGTTCAGGAGGCGAGGTCGTCGGACCAAGCATGGTTTGTTGAAAATTGGGGTTGTACACATACAGAGTGCCCCCAAAAGGAATTAGTAAGAAATGTGGTGGATATTCGGAATACGCTGGGGGAATAGGAGTGTCATTGAAACGAATCAGGGTTCGACGTGCCATCGCATAAGTCACAAGCGATGATTCAATATTTTCGCTGCTGAAGTGCCGGATCTGCCACAGGCCGAACAATGGTCGCGATTGTCGGTCGTGTGTTATCGGATTATCTAAGTGCAACAAACAATCGCAACAAGCAGCAGTTACAGTACGTCACTGATCAGGCCACAATAATTTCATTGCGACTAGTATAATCATTTTCACGATGTGTAATGGTCCCACAAACCTCGAAACATGAGCCAATGGAATCTACAGTTACCAACGCTTGAGTTCGCTTACAACAATGCTTCACATGCGACCACAGGGAAATCCCCTTTCTTCTTGTGCTACGGACGAGAACAACTTACACCACAGCAGCCAACCATACCGGCACATGTCCAAGATGTACACGACTTGGTCACCACCATGCATCAGCTATAGGAGAAGACCCAGCGACGTCTCACCATGATGTAAACCTCTCGAAAGCAGTATGTCGATTGACAGCGGCGATATCACTCATTAGTAGTCGGCGACCAGGTGCTTGTCGACACACGCAACATGAACTTTTCTCACCTTCCGTCCAAGCTCCGGCCTTGCTTCTGTGGTCCCTTTCGCGATAAGGCAATGTTGACTACAGTTACGTACCGTCTGTGCTTACCTACCACGTGGAAGCTTCACAATGCTTTCCATGTTCAGCTACTGGGATACGATGGAAGGGATACGAGTGACCCATCGGAGGACAGTTGGGTTGCATAAGCTGATATGGGCAACGCACGCCAAGCTTCCAATTATTTTATTGTCAGTAAGGGTGTTTCTCACGCCACCGAGTGTCGAGAGGTGGACGTGTGAGAGTACAACGGCTTTGCTATACTTTACTTGCTTGATTCTACTTTATTACGCATTTTAATTTGCTTGCTTTTGTTGCATCCTGGGATTCATTGCTTGATGTATAATTATTATAGTTATAGGCATCAAATAGTTAGTGTGCACAGAATTCTGTGCTTTTCTGTTGCCACGGAATCGCCTTCTACCAAATTCGGGAAGGACCCATTCAAGACGCTTCGTGACCCGCGGAACCTTCTAGTAACACCAGGGTTACTGCCTTTGTGTCAAGCCTATATATAGCATCGAGTTGTACCAATCCGATCAATCAATCAATTTTGAACCAGTTCCTTCGATCCTCACAGGTTTGACTGGACCCATATCCGTTCAGTACACGCTTTTATGTATTACATTCCATGAGGTGTCGTGGCTCAGTGGTGTTGACTTCTCTAAAAGAAGTGGTTAGTCTTGTAGACCTGGGTAATAGTGATGATAACAGAAGGCTAAATTAGGTGATAAAACTGTTGCGATATGCAGCGATGGTTGGGTTAGTGTTTTGGTGATACCGTTGGTGCCCTTATAGTTGAACTTGGATTTGAGAAAGTCCACCCACCTGATTTATCGCAAGTTGAGTTGTGGTTGAGCTTGCAGGTACTAAAGAGACTTTTTATCGTGAACTAGGTATTTGTGCTTGGGTGGTTGTATCTTGCGTGACTCGTATGCAATGGTTTGCAGCCCATTGCCGCAATCCTGTACGAGGACAACAACAATAGCGAAATCATTGGCGTCAGTTACAACTTCGAGCGGTCGGTATGGATCTGCGAGCCGGAGCACCTGGTGTGAATTCAAATGGTCTATGAGACTGTCGAATGCCAAGTGTCGAATAGTGTGCTTGTGCGGAAGGTCGGTTAGATGTTTGGTTATCCCCACCATGTTCTGGACAAAGCAGCGAAGGTAATTGGCAAAACCGAGGAAAATCTGCAGCTCCGTGACATTTGTTGGCGTCTTCCACTGAGAAATCGTTGTCACTTTGCGAGGTTCTATTTTATTCTCTCTCCTAAAATGATATGCTTTGGGAACTCTTATTCTGGATTTAAGATCTTGCACTTAAAGCCCTTAGCGATTAGT